AAGCTGCCACAAATATATTGCACTGAAACTTGTGTTTGGTATGAACATATTTGGCACATTTAACCGAGAAATTAATATAAAATAGTAATACAAATTTAGTATTCTATTAATGCTGCAACATATATTGTTCACTTGTTAACGTCACTGAGGCAAATGGTAGATAAGTGATACAGTGTTTTACAATAACATATAATATGCAGTACTATAAAAAAATTACTTGTTATGCTGTGTAATCTATGGTATTAGTATTTTATACTTGATGTTGACTTTCATGTATTTGTCTGGAGACCTGATGAATGTCAAATGTTTATACCAATACAATATATGGTACTTGTCAGTGGGTTTTAGATTGTTTGCTATACAGGATATACAGAAAAATATGACTAGTGTCTGAATATAATTGTAATTGGTGTGATCTTATGTAGTTTTGGCATAGGTTATTGTATACTGTAGCTTAATTTCATTTACCAGTAAGCCTAAGTTTTGAGCTAGTGGTAGCCTACCATATGTTTGGGGGGGGGGTCAACTTATCAGTCATTTATGTGCTATCTACTTAGGCGATCATGTATCTTTCAATACATGACTGACAAGGCAGATTTTTTTTTTCCTGCAGCAGGTTACCATTTCTTTCCACAGTAGACCAGTTGCCATCCAATCTTATAGAACCTGATCTGCCCTGTTAGTTATCCATAGCTGGTGGGAGAAGAAGATTTATATCTTTCTCAAGGGCATGTAAGTGAATGTAATGGATTTCAAACTCGACTATGATTTCTCAATCCGAGCCGCTATCCATTACTCAACCATGCCTCCTGTGTTAACTTATGCAGGTGGTATAGGCCTAATCTCAGGATTTTGAGCTAAAAATTGTGAGGTTGGCTTGTATGCCAGAATTTACGGCAGGTATTGAAATTGTTGAAAAGAAGTGACATCAGGATTTTGAGCTAAAAATTGTGAGGTTGGCTTGTATGCCAGAATTTACGGCAGGTATTGAAATTGTTGAAAAGAAATGACATATAAAAGAAGACAGAGATGGGGGTGGGTAAAAAGGAATCGGACGTTGCCTGCTCTGCACTCTAAGCTTGACTTCTGAAGCTTATCTCCTTTCATCATCCTGCAAACAAGATTAACCAGGATATATGACAACTATTTAGCAGTTTTCAGTAGGTTCACACGGAAAGATAAATAAATAAAACCTTATTAGTGGAAGCTTTGTACGTGGATTTATGAATGTGATCATAACACGCATAATAATAGTAATAACGATGATAATAATATTAATAGTGTTTCTTTTTAGTAACAACACACCTATCTTCTAATAGTGCATATCTACAAATTTATTCTTCATTTGTATTGAGTAGTCTGTTCAATTTAATGGTTTATATTTGCTATGTTGATATTTTTATGTATGTTTTGGTTCCTTCCTTTTTCTGTTTTCTGATATGACTGTAGATACAACTAGGGTGAGTAGTGGGATACATATATATATGTATTGTTTTTTAATTTATTTTTTTTTTTTTTTTATATTTGTCTGTGACTGTCGTTTTTTTTTCTTTTTATCGAAATTGTAAACATTACAAAAGTTATAAAAAGAATTTTTTAAAAAAAAGATTTGGTTAACATATGTTTATAAATACATAGCCGTATTCTTTTATTGATGCAGGACAAGGATTATTTTCACACAAAGCAAGGTGGCTCCTGACTGACAAAGGTTTTCTCATAATGATTTAAGGCAAGGTTTTAAAAAGCCTAATGTCCACCTCAGACACTCATAGTAGTCCATATACACTGAGTGTTTTTTATCAACACACCATCTCTAGGAAGGTTACCATTCAAAGCTTGAGACCACATCAACATAAATATATATATATATATATATATATATATATATATATGCTGCCTATATATATATATATGCTGCCTATATATAGGCAGCATATCTTTATTTAAACACGTTTCATTGAAGCAACTCAACCACCCTTTGTTTCTTGTTTCTAGTCCTGCTGGGTGGCATGCCACGCTCGTCACAAACTTTGAAAACAGTGGGGGGGTGCTGGTTTAGATTGACAACCACCCATCTGTATGCCAAGTTCTACTTGGTTATATGTTACTAGCAGCAAACCTAAGCGTGACCTGACCTATTGAGTTTTTTAAATATTTTTTTATCTTCTCTCATATTGCAAGCACAATTTTTGAATACTTTAACACTAACATGTTGGTTTTACTAGCCCAATATATGCAAAAAAAATATTTAAATTTATTTTTTGTACTTTTGTTTGCTTCCCCATCATTTATGGTGGCTTTAATTAAATATACTGAGATATCTCTGATTTAGTCAAGTGCCAACAAGTTTAGAAGTTTTTGCTGATTTTGATAGAGCTCTCAGTTTAATCATTTAGATCAGAATTTTCAAACATTTTTTATTTATTTTATTGAACACATTATTTGTATTGTCAGCTAAATCAGATATTTGTTAATCATTTCATCCCAAGCAAGGCAATAAAGCCACTAAGTTGCTAGGGGTTACTGAATGTGAGATAATACAAGAAACAAAAACATTATTATAACATTTAAAAAGCTGCATTATTCACTGCTTTCTTTTCCACTCATTTTTTTTGAAGGTTACTTAAATTCAGTCATCGTCATTTCCTGTTGCCATAACAGGATATGACAACACAACTGCAAAACTCAAACATGCTGTCATTCATTCATCTGAGTAACTTGCAGTGGCAGGGTAAAATTTTTGCTTTGGAACCAAAATCACCTCTAGAATGTCAAAATTTAAGAAGAGGGAATAATAATAATAAAAATAGGATTTAAAATGATAACGATTGTTATTGCATTTAAATTTTTGAAGATCAAAGATGACTGTGAAATAATAAGCCAGGAGAGAGTTCCACAAGTGAGAAGTGTGATAGAAGAAACTGTTAACATAGAACTTATAGTTGTATTTAGCCATTTCAACTGTAAAATGATGAGACTTTGCCATCTATCTAGTAGTGCACTTAAATTCATAAAATCTATTTATCAAAGAGAAAAGTTCATCAGAACAATTACCATGAAAGTATTTATGGAAAAGGCACAGGTAAGATACATTATGGCAATGGGAAAGTGACTGAAGCTGAGATACTAGGTCAGGATAAGTAACATTGCAGATTCTTCTTGGGATTTTATCAAAAATCTCTAAATACATAGCAAAAGTACCAAATCAGATTTAGCAACAATATTCAATGAATGGAGGAATGGTAGACTTATAAATGTGTTTAGATAGATTCTGGCAAGAAAAAATTGTTTAGCCCAACACAGTGAACCAACTTTCCTAGCAGCAGATCTAGCAATTGATTCAATATAATCTTGCCATTTCATGTCAGCAGAAAATGTTTGCCTGAGAAGGTGCAATGAGTCACTCTCCTGGAAATTAGCAGCAGCCATGCTGATGGAAGGCAAAAAAAGTTCTCTCAGATGATTAAAAAGAGAGTAGTTTTATTTTGAAGGTGCCAAAATTAGCAAGCCATTCCTTGCCCCAGTTAACTGCTCCTTGTTTCTCATTGGCTACAAACTGCTAGCAGAGTGGCCATGTTTACATTGTAACTTGCAGCAAGAAAACTGGTGTGATCCATCTCAAATATCGACTACATGATCACAATTATACCAACTATCATCATCATCTTCCTTCGACCTCTCTGTGGTTGGTCAGAACTCTAATGACAATCCCCTTCCACACTGTTCAGTCCTGTATTGCTGTCCCCAGAACTCCAGTGTTCAACCTGTGTCCCAAGCTCTGGCGTGTGGTTAAGTCAATTTTTATGAGAAGACACTTCCAGAAGGATGCAATAGAAGTAAGAATGAGATGATTTCCTTGTCTGCTTGGTGGCAGTGGCTGGCAAACTATAATTTTTTTGTTTGAGCTTTAGAGAACTTGGTCTCAGTTCTCTGTAAATTGTGTTAAGAATTGCTTGTGATCTCCAACTGATGTTCTGGATTTTTCTAAGGAGATTTGTATGTGTTCCATCCAGGCATCTTAAGATGAGCAGATAATGTCAAAGTTTCTGTTTCATACAGTAGGGACTGGTTCGATCAATGTTCAAAAGGTTTGAAAGGAGGATGGAAACTTCTTGTCAAGTTTGTTACACGCATACCAACTATGAGTATCCATGAGAAGAAAGAGTGTGAAACACCTAAAGAAACATTGTGGATAATTTTAGATTTACCCTTAATATGTATAATTATACATTAACCCTTTAGCATTCAACCTGGCTCATGGCTCTCCACAATTTCCTGTCCTTTGTAGCTCTTTATAAATTTTATCTTTTTGTTATTTCTCCTAAACCCTGTTCCACCATCAGTTTGCTCAAGCTTGCTAGGTAGGTTATGTGTTAATTTCTTTTATTCCTCTTGATTTCAGTCTGTCCTGTGAGTATCAAATTTTCTAAGTCCTCTTTCCTCATTATATGCCCTTGAAATTGCAACTTATGTTAAATATAAATGTCTTTTGTTTTCCATCTTCTCTAAAACTTTGTTACATGTTTGGTTTATAGCATTCTCAGCATCCTTCTGTAGAACAACATTTCTGTTGCTTGAAGTCTTTTCTTTGTCTAAGAGGAGATTGTCCAGAAATTGCTGTTTAGACATTTTCCTGTTTCTTAATACTTTGCTTAGCTTTTAGAAGGCAACTTGTGCCTTCGGATTTCAGTGATCACACTTTTTGTTCTCTGTTAAAACACTTCCCAGATATTTAGATTATTGTACTTGTTTCATTTTGGGATCTACAATTTGTGATTTACATGTTAGGCTTTTCCCATTTACTACCAACCATGCATTCTGTCTTCTTGCAATTGATATTCAGTATTTTTATACTAGCTGAGCTAATGAGCCATTGCTATGGGACTGATGTTATTTAAATAAAAAGATGGACACTTCTTTTTATTTGTATAATAATAAAAGAAAATAACCATATAATAATTTACAGCCAAAAGCTGATTTAGGTTTACAAACACATCATGTTGAATCACCAGTTCCTATAAGATCCCTGGCTAAGCAACGTTGAGCTTGGTCAGTACCTAGATAGGTGACCACTTGTGAATAGCAGGTGCTGCAGGCTTGGATGTGTGGGTGGTGTAATGGATAATGGTTTCAAATTGTTAATCTGGAGAGCCAAGTTCTAATTCCAGTATTCACTTCTGCACAAATACCTTTGAAAAAGTATAAATCAATCTCTTAATTAGTAGGACTTGTACCACTAAAGCCATTATTATCTAAAAAAAAATTTCTTACAATCTGAAAATATTTTCTGGCTTTAAATAACTATCAAAGGGTTGGTAAGCCGTAATAAATGAATATGTAAAATACTGATTAGCTACAGAGGCATGTCTTTTTTTATTTATTTGCATGCTTTGGAATATAAATGTATAGAAACTAATGTGGCCACAAAGTGAGGGATCGGTTTATATATTAATTGTGATGTAGGATTGATCCCCCACTTTATATTCATATTATAATTACTTGTTTATCAAATTCTGATTAGTCATAAATCCACTTCTTGCCCCCCAAGCTATGGATAAATTAATAAGACTTGTATCACTAAACCATTATTAACAAAAAAAAAAAAATTTACAATCTAATAATATTTTCTGGCTTTAAATAACCTGAAGAGAGTGTATAAACTATAGAAAACATATCAAATGCTGATTTATTTCCTTTACCACTATTTTTTTTTATTTGAAAATAAATTTTTAACTTTCATAAAAAAAGCTTCTTTCACCTTCGTTTTTTTTTACCTTTCATGACTTTACTCAGCATGCAATAGTCTATTTCCATGCTGTGTTTGGTTGATATCCATCCAATAGTTTCTGAGTCTATAAAGGACAGACACACATTTCATTTCATTTTATACATCTAGGCATATTTTTTTAAAATATCAGTAAAAAAATAAATGTGTTTTTATGTTTCTGAAAATAACAATAATGTCTATACACACGTTTTCATCTCCTGGGAGTGAAGGTCTTGAAATGTTTTCCATATTTTTTAAGCACTTTAGGAAAAAGTTTCTTGCTTTTTTTTAGTATTTTTTGTGTGTTTTCGAAAAGATTAATACTTTTAATATAGCAGATAGTTACACAGAAAATATGCCACTTCCAAAATGAATACATTCCAAACAGAATTCAAATTTTTTTTTTTTTTTTTCTAAAAGACATAAAAAAAGTGAAAATTAAAAAGGAATGACTGGATATTTTTTGTTAACTCACTACAAATAATTTGAAGTTAATTACCAAAAATATTAATTCATGCCAAGAAATTATAAATTTTAAATCAAACTGTCTTTTATTAAATTTTTCGCACTCTTGTCTAGCTTGCCTTGCAATCCTCAGAATGAAAAATTATAAAAAAATTAGGGAGTTATTCACATTTTCTAAGTGTGGATGATATTTGAGGTACTTACAAGAAATTTTTTACGATTTAAAAAAAAAAAAAGCAAAAATCTATTTTTGGCTAGTTAATTGGGATGAGTGTGAATGCAGATCCCACACTTAGAAATCACACACTCGAATCATCCACATTTGGAGTGATCGCAAAGGTCAATTCAACTGGAGTGCAATGGAAGAGCCTTGCTCGAGGAGAATTTGGCATGAATTTTAGTAAATGTAAAATCGTTTTATTTTTAGTGAATTAACAGAAAAGGTCCAAACAGTTATTACAAAAGTAATCCATATTAAATTCAATGCTTAAAAATTACGTTTTTTTTTTTTAATATTGCATAAAGAGAAATTTTTAAGATGAAAGCAAAGACATCCATCCATCCATTAACATTGACTTAGAATTTATTAAGTCTGCTAGAGTCTTACCATTTTAATCTTTGAGTCTTTGATCATCAGTCTAGTTCAATTATTTGCTTTCATTGTATTATGTTGTGATTTCATTTTCTTTTTTTTCTTTTTTTTTTTCTAAAATTGTTTCTTGTAGACAAATTTTCACAGACTGGTCTTCACTCTCTCTACACATGTCTGCACCCTCCTTCTCACAAGTGTATCTGTCTTCCTCTTCTAAAGTCTCCTCCTTTCTCCCTCACTCTCAATCAACTTCTCTTCATTTTCTCTTTAGCATATCTTTCTTCCATTTCATTATTTCCTTATCTCTCCTATCCTCTTTACGTTCCATCACTTGATTCTGTGTCTGTTGTAATTTTTCTTCACCCACAATTTCCCTTTTTCTCTACCCACTCTATTTTTCTCTGTTTCTTTCTTGGCTCACACTCTCTCTCTCTCCTTCCTCTCTCTCTGTTCTCCTTTTTCTTTCTCCTTCTCCTTTTCTTCTTTTCCTCTCTCTCTTCTTCTCCCTTTTCCTCTCTCTCTTCTTCTCCCTTTTCCTCTCTCTCTTCTTCTCCCTTTTCCTCTCTCTCTTCTTCTCCCTTTTCCTCTCTCTCTTCTTCTCTCTTTTCCTCTCTCTCTTCTTCTCCTTTTTCCTCTCTCTCTGCTTCTCCCTTTTCCTCTCTCTCTGCTTCTCCCTTTTCCTCTCTCTCTGCTTCTCCCTTTTCCTCTCTCTCTGCTTCTCCCTTTTCCTCTCTCTCTGCTTCTCCCTTTTCCTCTCTCTCTGCTTCTCCCTTTTCCTCTCTTTTCCTCTCTCTCTGCTTCTCCCTTTTCCTCTCTTTTCCTCTCTCTCTGCTTCTCCCTTTTCCTCTCACTCTCTCTCCTTTTCCTTTTTCCTCTCACTCTCTCTCCTTTTCCTTTTTCCTCTCACTCTCTCTCCTTTTCCTTTTTCCTCTCACTCTCTCTCCTTTTCCTTTTTCCTCTCACTCTCTCTCCTTTTCCTTTTCCTCTCACTCTCTCTCCTTTTCCTTTTTCCTCTCACTCTCTCTCCTTTTCCTTTTTCCTCTCACTCTCTCTCCTTTTCCTTTTTCCTCTCACTCTCTCTCCTTTTCCTTTCCCCCCTCTCTTCTTTTCCCTTTTCCCCTCTCTCTCTGTCCTCCTTTTTCCTTCCTCTCTGTCCTCCTTATTTTCCTTCCTCTCTCTCCTTATTTTCCTTCCTCTCTCTCCTTATTTTCCTTCCTCTCTCTCCTTATTTTCCTTCCTCTCTCTCCTTATTTTCCTTCCTCTCTTCCCCATTTTCATTTTCTTCCTCCTCCTCTTTTTCCTGTCTCTCTATCCCACTTTTTCATTTTTCTCTCCTTCTTGTTTGAAGTTTTTCTTTTCTTTCTCTTTCTCTGAACCTCTTTTTTTCTTTTTCTCTTCTTCCACATAATAGATGCCCATCTCTCTGTACCTTTCCCTTCAAATTAATGCCTTTCTCTCCCTCAGAATTTCTTTCTTTCTTTTTTTCCTTCTGCTGTAATCTCTATTTGTCTCTATCTCTTTCCTTGCCACATTTCCTGACACTCTATTCTTGTCTGTCTATATCTCTGTCTTTTTCCATCAGAATCTATTTTTGTCTGCCTCATTTGCATACAGTCTATGCCTGTCTGTATCTCTCACTCTCCACCTCACAACCTGTTTGTAAGTGCCTGTCGATTTGTCTCTCTCCCTCACATTTTTCATCTGTCTCTCTCTCACTCTCTGTCTTAATCTATGCCACCCTGACACTATTTCTGTCTCCTTCCTCTCACATTTCCCACTGTCTCCAAGATCTTGACCCTGACCCTCTACAACAAGTGCCTACCCTGGAAATCGGTTACACATATTTACAAAGCCTACAATATGTTATCTTCAGTCCGTTGTGTGTAAATAGCTGGGAAGAAGTTGCAAACAATGGCTGAGAGACAAACGGCTGGTTGCAAAACAACCTGTACAAATAATCCATGCCTGCCTATGTCATTCAGACCCACAAAACTTTGAACAACTTGAATGATATGAAAAAACAAGGCTTGTAAACTGAGGGATCATTGCGACAGATACTTGGCCAGTGGGGTCGGAGTTTGTGGGGTGGTTGTGTTGTGATCATCTCAGCTGTGGATCATGAAAAAATAAAAATAAAAAAAAATTTTGCTAAAAAATAGTTTTCAAAATTGAATATCTATCTTTCAAATTATCTATATTTTTTAAACTATTATATATATTTATTAAAGACATTTTTATTTTTAACATTCTTTTTTATAGATACAACTATTTAAGTAAATGCTCTGTTTATAATAAACAGTATTAAATAACATTTACTGGCCTGAATGTCGAGAAATTTTCATATAGAAAATATTCGTCCTTTGACAGATTGAACCCGTCCTATACCGGAACTGTCATACGTAGCGTTCCTGTAACCGACTTCGTACAAAGGGCGTTGTTGAAGCAGGTCCAATTTACTGCTTATAAACTTCAATCTTCCATGAATCTCGTGCATTCATAACTGCTCTGGTGTATCAAATGTAAACAAATAGCGTCATATATTAAGAAATGGATGAGGTCCGACAATTTATTTATTAAAGACATTTTATGTTTAACGTTCTTTTTATAGATACAAGTATTTAAGTAAAATGCTGTTTATAATAAAAGGGCGTTCGGTGAAACAAGGTCAATTTACCAATATACTTCAATCTTCCATAGATCCTTTGTGGCGAGTCTGTTAAAGGCATGTCAGCATATGACGGTTCATTATAGGATGCTGGTTGAATCCCTTTCAAAGGACGAATATTTTCTGTGAAAATTTCTCGGACATTCAGGCGGTAAATGTTATTTATCTGATTTATTATAAACAGAGCATTTTGCCAAATACTTGTATCTATAAAAAGAACTTTAAACCTAAAAATGTCTTTAATAAATAAATTGTCGGACTTTGTCCATTTCTTAATATATATATATATATATATATATATATACCATATGTTATTATTTTACATATTAGAACAAAAACATGTTGATATCACTACACAATAGATTTCATGTTTTGGTACTATGTTGTACCCCTTCAGGCAAATGGTAAGTGACTCTTTTCCGAAAGGGGTTGGGTAAGAAGACACATGGTCTGAATTAAAAATAGACTTGTGGGCTTGTCATTCACCCGAAGAAGTACAATGTAGTACCGAAACATGAAAGCTATTGTGTAGCAATTTCAACAGGTTTTTGTTCTAATATCTAAAATAATAATAATAATATATTGCTCTACTTTGTATTGAGCCCTGTTTTTAAAAAGTAAATGCTACAAACAGCCAAATTTTACTTTATCTATTCTTTCTTTCAACTGAAATATATATACAGAAGAGGTTATAGTTGTTCCAATGAAAGAAAAATGTATATTTTAAAAAGGAGAGAGAAACCGTAAACATTTCTGGTTGTAATGTGGATTTTTTTAAAAATGTATATATCCATATTACAACCAAAAACGTTTACATTTTCTCTCTCCTTTTTAATATATATATATATATAATATTAATAGGTTGGTTAATAAAATTTGATGAATAAAAAGCCAACAAAAATCATAATATTGACAGTAAGACTGATATTTGTTATATATTAGTCTTTTGATGAAATTGAAGCATGAAGAGAAATATTTTAAGGTCATAATTTTCAGACATGCCTCTGTCCTTCTGTTTTTGCAACAAGATGAGGAATAAACAAAGAAGTTGAACTCACTCTTCTAAGGAATGTTGTTGTTGGTTATTATATTCTCTGACTAAACCTACATTCCTGTTGGTTTTTTATTTTTCCAATTTTTTTAACCGGCATGTTATAAGAAGCATTTTAATTATATATATTTTATATCTTAGCAAATATGTGTCTAATATATATATATATATATATATATATATATATATAATTCAGAATTATCTCTATCTTATAATTTTGAAGGAATAAAATGGAAATATATTTTTAAATCTTTTGGGACATTTCGGGAGACAGCCTCTGTTTAATCAACACTGTTAAAAAGAGTCGTTTTTTTCTATTAAAAAGTCTTATTGATTTTTTTAGGAGTGAAGATGAGAAGGAATAGTTATTTTTTGTTTTTTTTAATGTTTTATTTTTAGTCGGTAGATACTTTGAAAGTGGGTGATACAGTTGAATATAGAGGATTAGCAGAAATTATCAGTTTATTATTACCTGTCAGTTGGCTAATCCCACTGAACCCTTTATATTTTTTTTTCTAATATAACAGGAAAGTAAATAGAATTAACTTATGTCTTGTTGAAAAATGAGTTATCTTAAAACTCTTAAATAACCCTAGTTTATTAAACAAGAAATGAATTGATGGTTACATGTAGACATAGAAATAAATATCTGCTTAAATACATTGTCCAGATGAATTTTTAATATAAAGTATGGTTTGTTTGTGTTTTTAAAAAGCACAAGTAACCTCTCTTTATGCTTCATATAAAAAATTAATATTTACAACTCTAAAAAAAATATATATATATATATATATATATATATATATATATATTACTTTAATCTTATTTTTTTAGTAGAAGTTTTGTTTATTTATTAAACAATTTATTTTCATCTTCCTACTTGAATATCCAAGAAATCTTATTAAAAAATATGCATTTTTGAATATTTAGGTCAGCAGATGAAAATTAATAAAAATACTATTTAATAAATAAATGGAGTGTCTACTCAAATATGGTTATCCACTAAAAAATAAAGTGACAGATTTATTAGATGTATTGGGGTGTATATTTGCAAATTTTCTCTAATATATGTTTACTTAAAATGATTGACATTGTATTCCTGTTGAGTCTTTCATTGCATTTTTCTTAGGTGCAAACAAGAGCTTTCTTTTTGAATTTGAGTCGGTGTAGAAATTGTTCCAATTATTGTTCCTTCTGGATGCTTTATAAATTGCTGATAAGTAGAAATATTCCTGAATAAAGCCAGTGTGTTATAGCCATGTTCATCGTTGATGTGGTCCTTTCATTTTTTATGATATAAGCTACAATTTCTCATGTGATCTTATAATTGTTTTTCTTTTCAGTAGTTAAATTATATAAAAACTGTTCAATTGTTTGTTTTTTTTCTTCTCCGAGCACTTTCAACTATACATTTAGTCATTTTCAAAGTTGAAATATATTAACTGTTAATGAGAAATAGATTGTTGCATGTATGTATTTATATAATGTTTACATTTTCAAAACCCGGTCAAGATATTGTGTCCATGTTTATAGTTGATATTAATGAGTGTTGTTTTTTTTTTTTGTTTTATTAATAAGGCTTCCATTATTTTTAGCCTTTTTTACATGTAGATGATGCTAATATATTGGTGTTGCCAACAAGTATGTTACGAATAGGGTCCAGTAGGTCTCCATGAATATTTAAATAAGATCTAACTGAGCTATGATCAGAAAGGTATAGAGTGAGTCTTCATGTCAAAGATGTTGTAGTGTGGCCTGTGTAATTATTTACAAATTTTGATTAATCAAGAATACAATTCCTTAATGGACATTTAAATTCGTAAATAATATTTGTTTGTTTAGTTTTGTTCTAAGAGATGAATTATTATTTTTAACTATAAGGTTGATGGTTTTAAATTTTTTGTAATAAATAATTAGTCCAATTTTTTTCCTATTGTCTACTGTTGTTGTGCATTTTTTGATAACATTCTTAATTCTAGTTTCATTTTGATTGTAACTTTTGTTCATCTGATTATTATAAAAAATATTAATGTTCATCCTCTTGCACACTTTTCTTTAAAGAATTAAATAACATAAAACAAACACTTATTAATAACAGATTTCCTAATCAATTGTTGGATTTCCATATTAGGCTTTTCCTGTTTAAGGTAGCTAATAGCAATGGTGAGAATAGAAACATAAACAATAACATTAATTTAAAAATGTAAAAGACAATAGGAAAACTGTAATATTAGCCGACATGTTTCGTCCAATGTGGACTTTTCCAAGGTAAAAACAAAAAATATATGTATATATACATACTTATATACACACACAGACATACACTGTTATGGAGTGATTTCACAGTGGAGGCTTGTATTTGTACTAAGTTGGTCCTAAAATTGGTTTGACGTACAAAACGTTAGGAACTTGATATAATAGGTATATGGAGAAATCTAGTTGTGGTCACTGATTTTTTAGTATCCGACTAACTGTTGGTCCGACCTATATTTAACCGACCAACTCCCGGGTGACCCGTAATTTTTACTCTTACTACTCCTACTTAATATAGGTGGGGGAGTCTATTAACTATAGAATAGGGTGTGTTCTATCACACACACACACACGCATATATATATATATACACACACACACATATATATATATATATATATATAT